GGGGGGGGGAGTCAAGCGTGTATTACAGGCTCTTAATTCTCTGTAGAGTTGAATGCGGTGATTAACCTTAGCTTGTTCCACTTTGCATGACCTGACAGCTTCCTCGACTGCGCACAGCAGCGACATGATCGTGTCTGGGTGTATAGCGGTGGTGACCTTCTCTGCCACGACAACACGAAAAACAAAACGTTCACGTACTTGTTTAACACTGATTAATGACTTATTAGAAACAGTAAGACTTGGTCAAAAAGTGCAGAATACGTCGCTGTTAGATCCTCTTTATAATGAAAGCTTTTTTGTACAGACCCGCGAAACGCTCGAACCCGACGGATGCGGAAGTCACATTTCTCCCCCTCTGACTAAAGAAGGTCACCGATTAGTAAATATTCAGTAGGTAATCAATGCGATGAAACCTAAGTGACCTAAGTGAATAGCTAAAGTTTTTTTTTTAAATATATATATATAAATATAAACCTGTCAGGCAGAAAAAGAAACTTTGAGCATTCGTAGAAACAACGGACTCGCTACTTCTGCAAACCCAAGCTGTTCTCTTCTTATAACAAATTTAAAAACAAATCCAGTTTTTGCGATGTCTGAAGTTTGTATCCTGGATTTTTGATTCTCTATAAACATTTATGAAAAATCCTCTTAAGTTACATAGGTTCAAAGTATTGTGGTGTTTGTGTGCCACTTGTAGTAATCTGTAGGGGAATCCTTCGGTAGTTGAGTGACTCTTTACGTAGGCTATATACAGATGTGGTTAGCCATCCGGCGCTGTGGCTTAGTTGGTTAAAGCGCCTGTCTAGTAAACAGGAGATCCTGGGTTCGAATCCCAGCAGTGCCTTTTGCTACACGAGACGGCTGTGTGTGTGTATTAGCTACTCTACAATATCTCAAAATGTGTGTTGGTTGATTTTTCTTTAGTTTTGTTGCACTATTCAAGAACACTAAATGAGTTCATGACTTATTTACTGTTGTAAATGAGCTTATACGACACCTGCCCCTGATACAACAACGCATATCAAATCAACTACATAGTTAAACTCATTTCATTCAGAATAACGACAAAATAAATATTAAGTAATGAGATAAGAAATAAGAAACAATAAACAATTTATGTCAATTCTATCTACAGATGAGCTGTAAGCATCTGAAGCATCTCCGCACTAAACCTTTATGACAATACAGGATAACTATGCTATTTCTGTACAATGGTTTCAGTGAGCGTCACATCTTAATTTATATATGTTTAAAAATATCCCCATAACAGCTACACAACATTTTATACTGGTCCTAATCTTTTGTTTTTCAAAAATATCATTTAATCTTAATCGGTGTATGTCATCTTTCATTTTAAACAGCATCTGGATATCAAGCGGTAATTGTTGATTGTTTGCTTTGAATTATATCATAATGTACTGACTAAATAATGGCTTTGTTGACTCGCAATATGGTTTGTTATCATTTGTATGCCTTTTTTGTGTAATGAATATTAATATTCCCATATGGAAAAGATATATATAAATCTTATAAAGTTTGTATCTGTCTTGTGTGAAACTTGTTTGAAAAGCATACAAGAGTGAAAACAAATATAAGATCCCTTGAAAAATTATATAAATGGAACTTGTATGTTTTGGATACTTTATGAAAGTAATGAGAAAGTGGCCACTTTCATGAGTAAATCATATAAGCCTTATATGATTCACTATATGAAGCAAGCTAAAGCTGATGCAAGTCTTTTATAAGTTTTTCCTATTTCTTTTCCATATGGGTTTCCCTACACCTAAAGCCAGTAAGACATATGGAAAATAAGTGAATAATTAAAGCATTTACAAGGGAGTGCAGAATTATTAGGCAAATGAGTATTTTGTCCACATCATCCTCTTCATGCATGTTGTCTTACTCCAAGCTGTATAGGCTCGAAAGCCTACTACCAATTAAGCATATTAGGTGATGTGCATCTCTGTAATGAGAAGGGGTGTGGTCTAATGACATCAACACCCTATATCAGGTGTGCATAATTATTAGGCAACGTCCTTTCCTTTGGCAAAATGGGTCAAAAGAAGGACTTGACAGGCTCAGAAAAGTCAAAAATAGTGAGATATCTTGCAGAGGGATGCAGCAGTCTCAAAATTGCAAAGCTTCTGAAGCGTGATCATCGAACAATCAAGCGTTTCATTCAAAATAGTCAACAGGGTCGCAAGAAGCGTGTGGAAAAACCAAGGCGCAAAATAACTGCCCATGAACTGAGAAAAGTCAAGCGTGCAGCTGCCAAGATGCCACTTGCCACCAGTTTGGCCATATTTCAGAGCTGCAACATCACTGGAGTGCCCAAAAGCACAAGGTGTGCAATACTCAGAGACATGGCCAAGGTAAGAAAGGCTGAAAGACGACCACCACTGAACAAGACACACAAGCTGAAACGTCAAGACTGGGCCAAGAAATATCTCAAGACTGGTTTTTCTAAGGTTTTATGGACTGATGAAATGAGAGTGAGTCTTGATGGGCCAGATGGATGGGCCCGTGGCTGGATTGGTAAAGGGCAGAGAGCTCCAGTCCGACTCAGACGCCAGCAAGGTGGAGGTGGAGTACTGGTTTGGGCTGGTATCATCAAAGATGAGCTTGTGGGGCCTTTTCGGGTTGAGGATGGAGTCAAGCTCAACTCCCAGTCCTACTGCCAGTTTCTGGAAGACACCTTCTTCAAGCAGTGGTACAGGAAGAAGTCTGCATCCTTCAAGAAAAACATGATTTTCATGCAGGACAATGCTCCATCACACGCGTCCAAGTACTCCACAGCGTGGCTGGCAAGAAAGGGTATAAAAGAAGAAAAACTAATGACATGGCCTCCTTGTTCACCTGATCTGAACCCCATTGAGAACCTGTGGTCCATCATCAAATGTGAGATTTACAAGGAGGGAAAACAGTACACCTCTCTGAACAGTGTCTGGGAGGCTGTGGTTGCTGCTGCACGCAATGTTGATGGTGAACAGATCAAAACACTGACAGAATCCATGGATGGCAGGCTTTTGAGTGTCCTTGCAAAGAAAGGTGGCTATATTGGTCGCTGATTTGTTTTTGTTTTGTTTTTGAATGTCAGAAATGTATATTTGTGAATGTGGAGATGTTATATTGGTTTCACTGGTAAAAATAAATAATTGAAATGGGTATATATTTGTTTTTTGTTAAGTTGCCTAATAATTATGCACAGTAATAGTCACCTGCACACACAGATATCCCCCTAAAATAGCTAAAACTAAAAACAAACTAAAAACTACTTCCAAAAACATTCAGCTTTGATATTAATGAGTTTTTTGGGTTGATTGAGAACATGGTTGTTGTTCAATAATAACATTATTCCTCAAAAATACAACTTGCCTAATAATTCTGCACTCCCTGTAAAACCTCTTTAATTTTGTGCACTATTACACTAGATTCTGAGAGTTGCACATACCTAGATACACTAGGACTTCTATTTTTTTAACAGTGTGTTTCATCATTAAGCAGTTATGTCTGCCAGAGATCACCAATGCAATATACTGTATGAATGAAGCATCCATTCTGACTGCCAGCGGCCTTTCTGCAAATGAGATGACATTTAAAAATGGCAGTGGCTGATGCTCATCTGTTGTGTCACATCATTTTTGTCCTGGAATGTTTAAAGACTTTAAAACTTTTATTTTAATTTTAGTGTGTGTTCACATGAAGTATTTTCTCACAGAACACCCCAACCCGAGGTGAGCTTTGAGGAAACAGAATTGGCAGGTGCTGCTCCTACAGGTAGTTTAAAAAATAGCTTTTATTTGTCTGTCAAGATGCTGATAGTTAAAAACAAAATAGCCTATTTGTTTATTTACATTTCTTTTCTCTTGCCAAGTAGTAACCACATATTTGCATGTTGCTATTTTCATAAACAGGTGTCTCCCCATGTGATAAGGAAGACATAGAACTGCTTGAGAAGGCTCTAGAGAAAGCCCTCCGTGTGCGCACCAGCTCAGAACCTTCTAAAAAAGAATCCAAAATACCCAAACCTGGAAAGGAAACAGGGACTTTAGGTGCTAGGCCTGTGGATATCACACATTCATCTGCAGCATCTAGAGGAAGCCAAAGAACGATAAGGTCATCCACTAAATCTGCCAGCCTTGACAGAAAAGGGTACGGACGGCCTGGATTATCAGTATGCTCCTCACTAGCCTCGGGACCTTTAGCTAGCGCCGACCCCGGACAGACCAAAAGAACAGATAATAGAAACACGATCCAAAACCATCCTGCCTCATCAGCTGGCGCTTTGCATCACCAGGCTTCTAGGAAACTGCAGCAGGCTGTCGTGCCGTCTGTCTCTCCTGATCACATCACAAGCTTGCTCTCTAAAAACAAGACTATCAGAAGCAATATGTTGAGTGGTGATGACCTGAGGAAAGCTGCACCTGTCGCTGCAAATTCTTCAAATAACGTAGTGTCCTCTTCACAAACAAATGAGCCAGGAGCATGCAGTTTCCCTCAACAGAATGGGCATGTTTTTTAGAATTACACTATGAAAATAACCATGCTTTGTAAAAAACAAAAATAAAAACATGTTCTGTAATATTATAATCATTCTGTTTGACTTTGCTTCAGCAGGATATTTTCTGAGCAAACAACAAAATGGAAATCTTTAAAGAGCAAGCAGAGCAGGTGCCTACAATGCATTGTAATGCAAAAATATATAAAAACAAAATTCCTCCTTGTACATTTTTCCTTTATTCACAAAGTTTCCTTCTGTACATTATCTTCAGACTGTGGGATAAAGCCGTTGCCCTACAGACGAACCCTGGGCCTGGGAAGAGTCACTTCATGGAAAGAATGAGAGCTACGGTAAAATGGATCAGCTGGGGTCAGCCATGATGTCATGTTAAACTGGAATTTATGCTCTAATTTAGAAAATCAGCCAAGTGTATTAATGAGAAATTCTAGCTAATATACATAAATTTCTCTAAACAACCCCTGTGTTTCATTGTACACCATTTTTCCTTTGCTTTGTTTAGTTTCCCAGGAATTGGCCATTTGGCAGCCCGTATGAGACCAGGGCTCTGCTGGACAGGTTGATTCACCAAGCTCAAGACTTGAAACAGCTCTGCGGGGAGCCTCTAACCAAACAGATGCCAGAGATAACATTAAGACTGGGTAATAGAGAAGCTTTTATGTGAATTCGGGAGAAATGAAAGGGACTGATTCCATAAGTCAGTGGGTGACAAAATAACAATGTGGGAGTTGGCAGGAAGTGACTGTGCGAGCTATTTCGACTGATACAAATCAAGACTTTCCTTTGCCAGGAACCATCAGGAAGTTGACATTTTTCTATAACTGTAACAACTTTCATGCGCTAAGAGTGACTGTAAACACACTTTTAATGCAACTCCACTTGCTTCTCAGTAAGCTTCTATTATAACTCTCTTTTTTTAATGTGCTTTCTTACAGTTAGTACAGGCGACAAGTATGATTCCTGTATGTCGCTGGAAAGGTTGCAGCTCACAGCAGCTGAGCTCAAGAATTTTGCAGATCAAGTGAAACAAGGTAAGAATCCTGTTTGTACGCAGCATAATAAACATCATAAACCTTCTGTAAAATAATTGTTTCTCCAGCATTAATTGCAGATCATTGATCTTTGTTTGTAGACAGGTGGTCATTAGCTGGAAGACACCTTATCAAAAATATTTATTCCTTTGCACTGACTTTCCTAAAGGAGATGCTGGTGGAGACATGGCATGGTTTTTGGCTGTGTTTAACCAGTGTTACATACATTTTGCTATTTCTTTTCCATGTGGGTCATCGTCTATGGGCATCCCAGTTTGAGTCTGTACCTATAATATGCAGCACAGCAGCATTTCCATTTCCTCCACTGATGCAGTTATAAAGAACATGAATGACGAGAGATTTTCCATTCACACCTTCACAAAGTTTTATTGATGTTTACTCGTTAAAGCACCAATGTAGCACAAGTAGCAACTAAATCCAGTGTGTCAGAGAAGTTTCCAGTAATGAATAGGTCCACACGTCTGGTGTCATCCAATCTAGCATCTCACGTTAGTATTTTTATTTCACCGCGTTGTAATATCCAGGGAGGGAATTATCTTTTATTGCTTTTTAACAGCATTTAGAAAATGATTATGGTGAGTGCAGCGTGCTAACGCGCTAATGGAGCCTCTCCATCTCGGCGTATGGAAAATGAAAGCAGAGCTGCCGTGAACCCTCAGCGCCAGCTCAGTCCTTTCCTTGGCCTCAACAGACCCCCCTCACCCCCTCGTCCCCATGACGATGGGGTTTTAAAGCTGTCTGTCCTGATGCCACTAAGCAAGGGCCTAGCTATTTAAAGCTGAGGCAACAGAGCAGAAAGAAAAAAGTTTTAGGGGTATGGTTGCTCGCGCTCTAAAAATAACCTTTTTTTCCGTCAGAGTGGAAAGCATGGGATCGATGGAGGCCAGAGGGAGGTTGTTTTTGCCCCACTGGGGCAAATGGTGTGCAGGGAGATGGGATAACTTCACCCCTGCCCCTGACTATAACATATGCAACAGAGGCAGAACTGCAAGAGCTTGAGCAGCTGCGGATGAGGGTGGCATTGCTGCAACAAGAGGTTGATCTTGAACAGGTAGGTGACGTGTTCTGAAAGCACCTCGTGAGTTTTACATACCTGCATGTTCTTTTTTAGTAGAAGCTAGGAACTGGCTGACAGTCTTTTCTGCTGTCCCACAGGCTCTGTTGGACACCCTGTCCCCTCAGTTTTCGGCTGTCGTACCTGGGCCTGAACGTCTGAGCCCCAGTGTACTCAGAGACATGTACTCCCTGCTGGGTGAAGGAGGGGAGCGTTTCCCAGCTATAGTCCTGGACTCTGAGCCTGCATGACTAATGAGCACATTAAATTGACTTATAGGTTTGTAAGCTTAGAAACAGGTATGAATACATTAAAGGCCTCGTGGTATGCTGCAATCTGGTGCAACACTGATGAAATCAAACCCCTCTGACATAGTCAAAACAAGGACATGGTTAAAAAAAAACAAAGGGGGGAACTGAATTGAGTGAACAGCCTCAGAGGGCAGCTGTGGTTCAGGAGGTTCAGCTGGAGGGGTTCGATGCTCTGTGTTACACCTCGTGATCCTAAAGATATCATGGAAATATTAATGGATGGATAAACAGGTGTACCTAATAAAATGGTAACTGAAACATCACGAATGATTATTTTGAAGAATCTGTTTTTAATCGTGGCATCGCTGTGTTATGTCAGTGTCTCATGTCATGTCACAACTGTATAAAACTGTGATCATTAATCCTGTCTCTTAAACGCAGCTTCTGAATAAATGCCTCAGGCACAATTTTAAGTATCACCATTGATCAGAGTAACGTAATAAAAGATACATAATATTACAGTGACTTTAAGTGTGTGTATTTGTGATGTAAGCTGTAGGTTAAATTATATGTTTGAGTTGTTTCTAATTTTTCCTTTTTGCTAAATTCTGACACATCATAACTGATGCCTCAGAAGTGTAATATTCACTCGGTGAATTTTGCCAGCAGGTGGCACTCAATTCACAGAAAAAAAAAAGAGTCCAAATTACATTTTAATCAAAGATGCCCTTGCAAGTTTACCTGTGTGTTTCACTTCATATCATTCATTTTCAGTGTTTAAATAAAAAAGAAAGAAGAAATGTGCCACCACCACACACACACACACTTCCATACTGTTTTTCCATATGTTTTTGATCCCCCATATTGAGCCAGCATAATCTTTCATACATACATATGCTAGATCGCATATATGGGGCCATCACTGTGTTTCTGTGATATGGTATTCACGATCAAATGTGCTATGAGGCTGTACGTGAGATTCAGGAGCGCCTCGAGGAGCCTTAGAGGCTCGTGCCCACAGATGACGGGTGGATGGCAGGAGCTGTGCCAGACTGGGCGACAGGTGGCGCTGGGTTCTCGCAGCAGGACGTGGGTGTTGAAGCCCTGTTGCACCGGCCCTTCATGCGCACGCACACAAACAGGGAGACATGCACACCCAGAGCCGGCTGAGTCATAAAGAAGATGTGCTTGGGTGTGCCTGGCATCGCAGCATGCTGCAAGCTGGAAATGGCATGTTTCCCTGAGGAGAGGGACAAAAAAAATGATTATATGAAAAAAGGAGGAGTATTTCAGCCTCAGATGGCGGGATGAGTCCAAAAGAACAAGGGCCTGATGGTTTGAACGTCTGTTCCTGGGTTCAAAGAAGAATACATTTGCATGTTTACAAGACCTGTTCACACAGAAATGTCCAACTACTTTTGGATTGCAGTCATCTGCAGGGCACTGGATCAGAGTGCTGCTGGTTTATGGCCTCACATAGTCTTAGATCTGTGTTTGTCTATGTGTGTGAGGGAGGTAAAAAAAGGAGGCATGGAAGTATCCTTGGGTCAACACTGTACATAGTTCCTAGTGGGAGTGGTGCTCATGCAGCTCAGCCTTCCTGTGACCTGCATGCATCAGCTGCTGCCTGGCTTTGCCTGTCACCAGCAGAGCTCTTCCACTCTTCCAGCATGGCCCGGTCCTCCCAAGGTTATGCATGCCTCACGCCTTTATCCCATTTTTCTCACGCCTCTTTGTGACACATAATGGAAGATGCAAGACAGTTTTACTGTCCGTGGGTGAAACTTCATGGAAATTACTGCCATATGCCACGCATACACACACACACTTACAGAGGGGAAAAGTTCAAATACTTTGGAGCTTCCACTCTTTTTTTTTCTTTTCCTCCAGTCATCTCACTTTTAATCGCTTATTGGAGTCTAAGCACAAATCCCCAGAAACCCAACAGAGCTACCAAGAATCCACTTCTGTCCTTCAAATGCCCATTGCGCTTGAACGTCTCTTTTCTACTGCGCCCCCACTCCTCACAAAGACATTCCTCACTTCCCCTCTTTTATTTCTCTTTGGCTGTTCTAAATAGCTGTTGCTGATTGAGCTACAGCCGAGATTGTTAAGTCAATGTAGTCATCAGTTAGGCAACATTAGGGTATATTTTTTGATTTCCCCCCACTGATCAGGCAGTCAAGTTGAATTTTTCTGTCAAGACAACCCATACACGGTCTTAACAGCAGCTGTCCTGTACAGAAGGAAGCCTGTTTAGCATTTATAAGGGAGCATGACGTATTTTCTATTCTGGTAAAATCTCTGATTATCATATTATCAAGAATAAGTTGAGCTGATAAAAAAAAAATTCTTGGAAGCATTAAAAGGCTAACATGCTGTCGTAGAAAACCCAGTAATGCCTGAAGATAAAACAGACAATCAGATTTGTGTGTCCTTCACAAACGTAGCTTTATAAATGTGGAGGAGGAAGATTAGCAAACGTTGGACATGAAAGGTGTCTAGATTGATTTTATTTAATTCTCTTTTTTTTGTGGAAGAGCGAGCATACAAGCGGATTAACTACTACTAGGCTGCTTTCCATTCAGAAAGAACTGGCTCCAGCCGTGTGTGTGCATGTGTGTGTGGGAGGGAAGGTGGAGGCTGCCTGTATTTTTTTATGAGTATTTCTGCCACGAGTCAATATTTTCATCATTGTATTTACATTAATAGAGCTATATTATATATTATTTAATATATATATTATTTATATAGTATATATTATATATATTATATTAGTATATATATTATATATAAAAATTGATGACTGACTCATGTTGACGTGATGGGGATGGAATCACTGTGACTGTGTGATTCCCATGAAGAGATGACACATCTGTAGCGATCTATATGGAGAATGTCCCTTTTCTTTTTTCAGTAAACATAGAGATAAATAAGGATTTCCCATTCGCGTCTAATTTCAAGTCAACACTAGGCTTCTGCGTTCCCATGGGGAACGTTTTATACTGCAGGAAAACAAAGATGCTGCATTTGAGAGGCAGTGATGGGAGCATGAAGAATAGAGAGAGCAGTTAACTCTCCTCCCCTCCCCCTTCCTGTGTTTCGTCAACCCCTGTTCTCCCTACTTCAGTGTTTGATGTCACCAATGAGCTAACGAATCGTAGCACTTGGACTTCCCAGTTTTTCCTCCCTAGCCCCTCCTCTTTCCTTAAGCCTTTATATATATATGCCCCCCTCACTACGTTCTGCAGAGTGTACAATGTGCTACTAGAGAGCCGGCAGACAGTGTACAGAGAAACAGCAAGAGAGGGAGGCAGAGAAGAGGAAAGTGTGAGTGGATTTCAGCTGATTTTAGAAGATTTCATCGGACATGTTCAAGCCATACCTGCTCAAGTCGTTTCTTTGGTCTCATACAGACCTCCTTCTCCTTCCTCTCCTTTTTTCCGCCTCCGTTTGTCTCGTTCTGTCTCTCCAGGCCAGAGCTACCTACAAGTAGGATCCCAGAAGCCAACGCTGCTGATCCTGTCAGGATACGCCAGCCCACACAGTCAGGATGGGCTGTACAACAGGCCATTTGGCTTGCCAACCACAGCCGCAGACCAACTTGGGGCAGGAGGGTCAATCGCTAGAGACTGGTGGGGCCAAAGTGCCCGAGGTGCTCTCCTCTCTGGAGCGTCTATCTCAGGCTACTGGAGGAATGGAGAAGTCCTGGTACCGCTGCATCTTTCCATTTGGAATCATCTCTTTAGTTATCGGTGTAGCAGGAACAGGAGTGACCTACACTTATAATGACCTGCCTCAGACTAAAGTGGTGTCAGTTGTGCTACTCGTCATGGGTATTTTGCTGTTAATGATGGCAACTGCTTGTTGGACTGTCCACAAGAAGAAGAGAAGGAAAAAGAAAGAGGGGGGCTCATTCACGTCTGAGCAGTGTCCCCTGTGAGTGAACACAGGGGTATGATAGAGGAACATGCCTAGAGCTGGGAGCTCAAGGTTTGGCCAGAAATTCTTCACTTCACCTCCCAATGCAACGTCCCTCCATTCTCTGAAGTTACAAAGTTGAATTCAAATCATGTTGGAGATAGCTTGGGTCAAAAGGACAGATAAACATGACGCCGAAGATCTGTTTAGTCTGTGAGGTCTGCATCAGATTTTTTTGGATTGGCAATGAGAGATCACCAGTGCCTCACACGCTCTTTTATCATCAGACAGCAGGTGTCCGGTGTCAAAACAACCTCCGAGGAGATGTGCAAAATATGCATTGGACACTGCATGCATATTTACACACACTAACAGGCCTTTGATGACTTACGCACGAGCAGTTACAGCGGGAGCTCACACAGACACCTAACACGCTATGCAGAGCTGCTGCTGGAGTCAGTGCTGGCGTCACTAGGCACGTCAGTCACAGCATTCCTTGTATCAGGACAGGTGACTCTCCAAGAGGCCACAAACGGGCCAAAGACGGCAACCTGATACCCGGCCGAAAAAGCAACGCACCCACGTCAGCGGCCAACGTCATTCACTCGTCCTGTGACACTACAGCAATGTGTTGGGGGCTTTTTTTGCGCAATGAGAGATTGGAACTTGAGTCCTGCTGGATCTTACTGGCATCTGTGTGGACGATCAGTTGGAGAGGGTAGAGGACCTGCTGGAGGAGTGCAAAGTGTTTGTGTGTGCTCAAATTAAGATCCAGGTCAACTGAGAGACTTTTGGAATTTGGTCCTCACAATGAAGGAAAAAGAGATTTGCACATATGATCATGTCCATGGCAAACAAGAAAACATTTTAAGTAAAGCGACATACCCTGAAAGGCCTTTTGTAGCTTCAGCTTCGCATTACAAAGGACTGGGGACCTAATTATGACTGACTTGATTGCCTTTCTTTTCAATAAGTGAGCATTTACACTCAGCCCTATGTCTTTGTGGGACACCTCAACTCCATACAAAGGAGTCCAGGATTATTGAAGGACACTGCCTTAGGGGACATGCCACGGCAGGGACACTTTGACTGATCCTGCTCCCCTAGGGCCCCTCCCGTTTGGTGCCTTGAGCAACCACTCATGGAAAAAAGCTCTGCCACATTCCCCCACTCCAAGAGTTACCCCCCTTTGCTTTCTCTCTTTACCCAACAGGACTCTTCAAATCTGTTTCTCATTGTACACTGCCAGCTTCTGACTTAATCACACTCATTTCCCATTGTTGTATAGCCCAGGAGATGTGTGGACAGACTTATTATGCTCAAATTAAGACACACACTTACACGACAACCTCACAGTTCGCAGACATTCATGCAGTCTTTATCTATCTGTGCCAAAGGAATTGGTTGTTTTAATTTTTTCCCCCAGCTGTGGAAAAAATGTTGATTAAAAGTGAGTCGCAAAATCCTGTGTGAAAATAGGATACAAGGCTGTTCTCTAGTGAAAATTGAGTAATAGGTAGGCTCTAAGTGGCTCTGGGGTTTCCTTTTCCTTCACATTTTCTTTTAGGAAGAGTGACTGAATGTAGCTGCGCTCAGCGCCACATCTGTGAATAGGTGCTTTCTCACAGGATGAGATAAACAATGGCATTTTACTCTGTCTTAATCATTCTCTTTTGTGTGACTGAATGTAACATGAGGTTCAAAACGTAACTCCCGCAGGGAGTAAGTGCAATGTATACAATGTATAGCAATTTCAGAGAAGACAATTTGTCTCCACGCGAAGGACTTTAGTGACACTTCTTTACCTTTGAGAGCTACTATAGATCACTGTTGCATTGATTGTCTCCACTGGTTTAGTCAAGCTTGCTAAGGAAAATGTGTCTGTTACCCAGGGGTAACAGTTAACATCGAATGCCAATCCCACCGAGGACCTTTTGAAGGCCAACTTGCCAAATTCAAGGCTGCATCTGTCATCCTGCCCAACCTCAGTACACTTGCAAAGAGTCGGCCCCTTTTCTTTTGACATGTTTTGCGGCTCAGTGTGCATTTAGATGTTGTCTTGCATGCTAATGAAGGAAGAGAAATATAGTTAGGAGGTAATGGAGAAAAAAAAGGAACCTGGGAAGTCATTCCTTTCACTACATGTGGCAGTGAGTAGTTGCCCCAGCAGTTAGATTAGGATCAGCCATCCTGAACAAAGCAGTAATATTGTCGAGGAACATGATGCATTACTGGAATCCATGGCGAGAATTTAAATTGAATAGGAGAGGAATAAGTCTTCTCTGAACCTTAGATCAGTGTGTTTGCAAACACCGGCATACTGCAAGCATTTATAATTTTTTTTAAGGTAAATGTCAAATGCACAAAGCTCATAAAAGTATTTATAGGTGGGCCATTGTTTTAGTATCCTCTGATCAAGACAAGTTAAGATTTACATTACACGGGCTGTCTCGCTTTGTTATCAGATCCGTTCACCCGGATTAGGGTTTGCTCTAACAATGATGGGCATGAGTTGTGGACAGATGTGGTGGACCTGTCACAGATGTGGAAGAGAAGGATGTTTGGTGGCACAGAGAGGAAAAAAAGATGGTTATTCGTCAGTTTACTGTGGGAAACAAAGGATGCCAAAAACAAGATAGGTAACGTGTATACGCTTATACTCTCGCCTCTGTATAGTCCACATTATATATGTAGTACACTTTGGCCGCATTGTTGTTCATTTTAAAGCTATATCGTGCCAGTATATTGACACTAAACAAACAAACAAAACAAAAAAAAATGATGGAAGGTGACCAGAAATTGTTTCTTGTTTCTTGGAGATGTGAAGTGATTTCCCTTCTGCCTTCTGAAAGATTAAAGGGAAAACCTACCTCTCTCTGCTGCGGGGAAAAATGTCCCTCTCCCAGAAGACAGCCATGCTGTCAGCCTATGCTTTTTGTCACTCCAGTGAGTGACACAAAATACGTTGGTTTGTGTGCCCACTAATATTTGGTGCTGTATATACAATTATTTTTCTATTTGTAATGTATATTTCTACTCATATGTAAATTTGAATTGTTCATGTAAGCACTGTATTAAACAAATGTCACATAAGCACCTTTGTTTGTGATAGCCTAAAGGTAAAAAGAAAGAACCTTTATGCATTCATTGTATGTCTTTGTACTTGTTTGCTTTGGAAAATAATTTAGAATAGCGTGAACCGTCACACCATTCAACTCTGTCCTGGTCAATCTGGAAGAATCTCTGACAGGGCTAAAAATACAGAAGACAAGTGGAGAGTGGACAGTGGATACAAAGGAGAACAACATTGTTTTGGCTCTATTTCGAACAGTGTGAGCAATAATTACAACCGTCGCTCTGTTTTTTCACAAAACGCAAAACCTGTCTTCAGTTGACAGCCTTCGCTTGAAATTTCGATGCTGTATTTAGACGCGCTGTCATGTGTTGCCCTGCCAGCTAGGATGACTTGTTCAGATACCCGGGGATGAGGAATCTGGTTGTTAAGAAAACAGACTGGCCAACATCAATCAGAATAAATGACACCACCTACTGGCAGTAGAATAAAGTAGGCCAAGTACTCTCACTTATTATTAAGTCACAGTTCTGCAGGAATTAATTTTATATTTCTGGGTATAAACATATTTCATCAAATTAAATTACAGCTGGGAAAGCGTGGGTGTGGAGGGAACAGTGCTTAGGTCTTGATAAAAGGGTGGGTAGGCCATTGAGGGGCAAAGTGCAGACGAGGTGGAAGTGGTCAGCTGGATTGCTAGGGTCAGCACGGATTACAGGAAACCAGACGGAAACAAGTCGTCCGCCTCTTTTTATCCAGAACTTGGCCTCAAACCAAAACATTCAGCACTATTTGGCTCCTTATCAGACTTTGAATTATATAAAACTCAGTTTAATACATACAAAACAGAAAAAAAGAAGCAAACAGCACAATTTGACACATTAAAGAGACATCTGGTGTCCCATGACTTTATTTATACTTTATTCAAATTTCGGATCAACACCATCTGTTCAAAAGACAAATCCGGGTGTATTTAATTAGCCAGCGACTAAGGCTGGTTCCACATAATACCTTTGTAGCAGGAGGGAGTTACATTTCAGTTCATCTCCAGATATTATGGGAGCTGTTTTGGAGACAGTTGTAGATGAAATTACACATGCCTGGCCAGACGGTCAGATTAAATCACAAGCAAAATGACATTAAGCTGCAGTCTGTGTGTAGCTATTGCAACAGAAACAAATGTGACGAGAAGACATTGGGCTTAATCACTCAAAGACTTGAGAATACTTTAATAATCCAACAGTGACACAAACTAAATGCTGGTTCTTAGTTTTAGGTATTTCTGTATGGAAATTACAAACAGATAGTAGCAATCTTTTTCTCATCAATAAAGCTTGCAAATTAAGTCACTGAAATGTGAAGTCATCTCCCATTTACTTCCCATATATAAATAAACTTTTTGACTACCAATAAAAATGACAGATCTTGCAGTTTTCTGAGCACACTGAGCGTGGTTGTTTAGCTTTAATTATTTTTGTTAAGGTTCAAAGCACCACTGGATCTCCTCTCCCTGGTTACTTTGTGTTTTACTGAGAAAACGGTTAAGATTACTCTGAGTTTCTATGGAAACTGCTGCATCTAGTTGTGAATGTTACAGCCCCTGCCCTCTCTGAGGTCACTCCGCTACAAGATGATTTGATCATCCTGCACCTCCAGTTTTAAATAGCCTAAGAATGAGCAAATGAGCAATTTAAACACTTGTAAACTCATGATTATAGAAGAAGAACGCATAGATGTGTTGTCTTAATGCTTTTGTGAATTACATAAAAGTTTCATGTAAACTTATTTAGGCATTTTCCTCTTCTTTTTTTTTTAAAGGAACCTACTGAGTGGAAGAGGCAATGTTGAGCACTGGCTATTGTTAGTGATAATTAGATTGGATGAGCAGGTGATGTGTGGATCAATAGAGAGCCTGAAAGGAACACATGATTACTCTTGGGAGGTTACGCTGCTCCCTTAAGACCCATTTCAGAAAGATAAGCAATGAAGAGATACTATTGAACTGAGACAGTATAGCAAATAACAGTGGGGACATAATAATCATAATTACAATCAGGGTGTCATCTAATTAAAGGCAGCTGCTTCAGAAGCTGAACCAGTCGCTAATTTCTTTTAGTTACAGCTCTGTTTTAGCAAACAAATATAATCATATTACATATCATATTACAAACTCTCAGTCATTTTAAAACACACATTAAAGCCTGCTTATTCTTGCTGAGCAGGGTATTGCATTTTTTTTAATACAGTTGGTCTTATTTATGTCTATTGAGATTTATCTCATGATGTTTTATTGAGTTTATTGTGTATATTAGTGTATTTATTAGTGAGCTGGTTTAATGTTAATTATATAATATTTCGCATAACCTATACACCTATATGGACCCATACATTGTGGTCAACTGAGGTTGTTCTAAATGTCCTATAAAAATAAACTTTGATTTGACTTGGCATCTTCTGTCATTTCAAATATTTTACATATCAGGACGTAAAGAAATATCTAGCTTAATGTACACACACACACACACACACACACACACACACACACACACACACACACACACACACACACACACACACATATATATATAAGTTACAATAAAGTCCCATGGCTAACAATATGTTTGGGGGATGTCTTTTGACATCCTTCAAAGCTGACGCTACGCACCTGTCCCTTTAAACACCGTACCTTTAAAAAATATTCTCTATCCAACTACATTTCCCACAGTCCACTGTTTAAAGGTGGTTCGGTGGGCATGCTTCTAAATCGGGTCAGCCAATTATATACCTTCACTAACGAGCGCGTACTTCGAAATGTCGTTACGTTCTCCAATGAGCGTTTAATATGTTACAGTTTTATACCGTCTGACCAATCGTCGCGAGCGTTCTTCGCGCTGACCAATCAAATGGCTAAAATGTTAAATAAAGGCATCATCAGTGAGGACCAATCAGATTGAACGTATAGTTTAAACGGTGAGCGCGGGCGGTCCTAGAGAGCATCTTTTGGGGCGGGTCCAATAAGTGAGGACGCGTGCTTGGATTTGAATTCAGGCAATAGCTAACAACTTACGGAGACATTAGTCAACTATCACAGCAAAACAGACACAGGAAACAACACTGTAACACTGCCTATTTCGTTTTCTAGTAATTAGTGTGAGCATTTGAATGTGAGTAACATTAGTCAACATCGTCTCGTATATAAATCGCTACTCAAGAGTTGCATCTACAGTAAGACATCGCTGTTTGAGGAGTGATCCCTGTACTTGCAATGAAAGCAGGCGGTAAGTACTTTTTTTCAACTTGTTCTTGCTAACACCGATATATGGAAATTACTTTAATATGCAACAAGTGTTTGCGGTCTTACTTCAGAGCACTAAAGTTTGACACAGTTAGCATTGGTGATTAGCTGCTGCTCACCACAAACGTTAACTGGTATAGCCTCCGGGAAGTAATGGTAAATCATATTGGCAATATATCTATGCAGGTAAAACGTCTCTTCTGTTAACTTTGTGAGCATTTTGTGGTCATTGAAAAATAAATACTTAGCGTTAGACTAGTTCGAATTTGAAACCTAATTGAAACTCATCGTTACTACTGCCGTGGAACTTACAGGAGGGAAATTTGGGCGCTCATCGACTTTGACTTTCCCCCTTCAGCTGCTCAGTTCACCGCCGTTAGATTTTTAACATCTGCAGAAAAAAAACATTAGCTTTTTATGTGTTTTAATACTTTTAAGGTGATGATCTTTCCATTAATTTAAACATTTTCCCACTCACTCACAGAGAGTTTGAGTAGACCACCCGTAGATGCCTTACGTTAGTAGTTTTGAATGTGGAGCCATGCAACCTTCATCTTGGAGTGCATCACTGTATGTCTGAATCAACTTGACCTGCTTTCAGTGAAAGGCAAATATTAGTTTGTCATTAATGTGAGAATTAGTTAGCCAATCTTGCACTTAGGTGTGGAATTTTAAGTGATTTGTGATTTTGATTGTGTACACTTAAAGCATTCCTCCCAGTGCTGTTGCTTGCAGGGTGAATATGGGAAAGATGCTCAAGTATTCAAAACATTTGATGTGTAATATATGCAGTTCCTCTTTGCTTTTTTTTCTTTCAGTTGTCCACTGCCGTTGTTCAAAATGCTACTCGGTTCCAGCACGGAAGCGGGTACGTAAGCGATCTTCTGGGATCACCTTGCTGTCTCTCCCTGAGGAGGTTCTTCTCTGTGTGCTCCAGTATCTCTCTGCAGAGGATCTCCTGTCTATCCGAGCTGTGAGTAAAAGTACACACTATGACACAGCTAAACTCTTTATTACCTGAGATTTCTCCTCTGCTGGGGTTCTAATTATTTTTATTTATTTTTTTAAATGCCTGTTTCAGGTTCACTCTCAGCTGCGGGACATTGTTGACAACCACTCTAGTGTTTGGGCCAGGGTCAGTTTCAGAGACACGTGGCCATCCCCAAACACATTATGGCTTTTTGAAAGGTACATCACCTACTGTCAAAAGTGTACTTATATATATGTTGTTTGTCAATTTGAGTCTTTACTTTAAATTTTGTCTTCCTTTAGAGCTGCTGACAAAGGGAATTTTGAAGCTGCTGTGAAGCTTGGAATTGCATATTTATACAATGAAGGACGTAAGTTGTTGGTTGGTTCATGTCAGAGATTAAATGGGGAGTCATATATAAACACAGATAACAGAAAACCCTTTGAATAATTGAACTAATTGATTAAAAATGTGCATCCTCTCTCGCCTTCAGCATTGTTAAGTGACGAGGGCCGAGCAGATGTGTGTGGTCGAAAGGCTTCCCACTTCTTTAGCCTCGCAGAGAGCCTGCGCTCCCTCACAGCAGATCCCTTCATCTGGGTGTTCATCCGTCCACCGTGGTCGCCCACCGGCAGCTGCTGCAAGGCCGTGGTGTTCGATCACCTCAAGGCTGAGTGCGCTAACAACATGGTAGGCTCAGAGTTCCTGTTTGACCAGCTGGGGTGCAAATTTAATCTCCATTGATGTCTGATTTGGTCTTAAAGTATTAAGTTGGGGTTTCTCTTAAATCATTAATTCAGACATAAAATATTACATAAAAATGTAATATTTGGAAGGCTGCCTGAACACCCTGTCCCTAAAGCTTGGCTTCTGTTCTTCTTAGTTGACTATGATTTACAGTGCCATACACTGCATGTGCAAAACTGTTTACCAATCTGCTTTTGTGATTTCTCTGCAGGAGAGGAGGGGTCCCCTGTTGCATTGTTTGGCCAAAGTTTTGCAGCTGTTTGAGGTGAGTGAGACTGTGGGGGGCTGTATCTCAATCCAGGTGTGGTTAGACCAGTTTCTATTACCCCCACCCCTTCACCAAAACCTAAAACTGAGCTGATGTCACAGGGGCTGTTGGACCAGTTGGGCATTAGCACCACAGATGGAATAAGTCCCTGTCATGCAGCTTCTGTTGTCTTACAGGCCTTGTTGTTTCTTCTTACTCACAGCTTCAGTATGCTTTGTTATTTACCAATGTGACAAAGCAGAACTATGTCACGAGCCTTCATATGTTGCAGAGACAGCATGCGGCAGACAGTTTACCTTTACTGCTATCATTAACCTTAAGGAACTGTGTTTCATTTGTCCAGGATGATGAAAAGCGTTCAGAAGCCATATCCATGCTGGAGGAGTCGTCGCAGGCTGGCTGTCTACAGAGCTCATACCTGTTGTGGCAGCACAGCCGTAAGGCAGCTGTGAGTCAGGTTCTCTCGTTACCGTGTTTCGAGATTTACTCTCAGAAGCATGCGCCTTTGGTGAAGACAGCTGTTTTTTTGGGATTTATTTCTTATTTACACAGTCAGTCAAACATAACCAGCTAACATAGTAAATGCTTTACAGATTCTAGAAAGATTCTCACGTTGACTCCAATCATGAGCTTACCGTTTTGTTTTTGGTTTTTTTTGGTGTATGTGTTTCAGATCGCAGATCCAGGAAGGTACCTGCAGTGTGTGCGAACCCTCAGGGACTATGCTGGGAAAGGATGTTGGGAGGCGCAGGTGCGTGATTGAGGACAATTCACCAACTTTCAGTTGGTTTCTTGTGATCGGTTTTCTCTGTCAATCTGTAGCTTTGTTCTCTCTTTGTACTCCCCTGCGGTGATACAAAAAAGCAGCAAATGGCTTTTCTTTTGAAAGCCTTTCAGCTGTCATTTCTTGTTTTTTATTACCCGGGCCTACATTTCTCCAGAGTTGGAGTTGCTTATTGAAATGCTATCAACTAAAGTCAAGAGGGCTTGACAGATGTTGACGTTCTCTCTTTCTTTTTTTTCTTTTTTTTTCGCCCCACTGAATCACAAAAGTATGACTCAGCTAAATCCCAAGGTCTGTAATTATATCAGGAAACTAATACAGTACTAAACTTTGTTGTTGCCTTTCTAGCGTTACATAGCAGCAAGATGTCAAGCCTTCTTGTGTAATTATTTTAGTGCTTTGTCTTCTTCCCCTAGTTGTCCTTGGCCAAAGTGTGCAGCAGTGGCAATCCGCTGGGTTTGGAGTCGAAGGCCTGCTCGGATTTAGTCGCCCAGCTCTTCAGCTCCTGTAATCCAGCGTCACGGCCCTCATCTCAGGAAATCTTGAAACAAGGAATCAAGGACAGCATGAGGTAGATCGAACAGAAGCAACGTCATGATTTTACTGTCTCTTGATGAATATCTCTAGAGTCCCTGTGATGACTCACTGCGTGCTGATTATCCTCCCCTTCTTTAATGACATTAGTAAAGGGATGACACACCCCGGCAATAAAAGTTACCACATCGACTCGAGGTAGATGTGACCGAGTCTGATGCCCTGAGTTAACTTGAATTGTTGTTACCAAGTTTTAGAAACGCCACTTTCTGCTTTCCAAAGCCACCCAGTTTATATTCTTAAAAGGTTTACGATATTGATTATTATTACATGGTTAAAACTTGGCACACTGCCCTGATGCACCTGATTTTAAATTTTTTTGTCTGCTTGTCTCCAGGTACATCCTGGTGGACTGGCTTGTGGAGGTGACCACAATGAAGGACTTCACCAGCCAGACGCTGCATGTGACTGTAGGCTGCGTGGACCGTTATTTGACTTTGCGGTCTGTCCCCAAAGCTCGTCTTCAGTTATTAGGAATCGCCTGCATGGTCATCTGCACAAGGTAAGGATGCACACATACCATGGTTTTTGTTCGTTTCTGAATTATTTATTTATCTAAAAGGCAAATGTTTTGTAACTTTTTTTTTTCCTTTTCAGATACATCAGCAAAGAAATCCTGACCATACGTGAAGCAGTTTGGTTGACAGACAACACCTACAAATATGAGGACCTGGTTCGAATGATGGGAGAGGTCATCTCTGTGCTGGAGGGAAACATCAGGGTGAATACAACAAGCATCGTTTGTTTAGTGTATTGTTTAGTATTTGGTGCCAGTGAAGTATTTCCCGACCTTCTTTAATGCAAAGACTAATGCTTATGCTTTCTTGCAGAGCCCCACACTGCTGGACTACGGCGAGGTCCTGCTCTCTCTGCTCCCTCTGGAGAGGCGAACCACTCACCTATTTAGCTACATCTGCGAGCTGTCCCTGCTCTACTCTGCTCTAGCCACACCGCCACCTGCTAAACTGGCCTGTGCCGCACTGCTGCTCACACGGGCATTACATCACTATGGTAAACACACTCGCTCATACACACTCGTACAACGTTCCAGCCTTTTAACAACAGGCTGTAACTCAAGAGTCTTTTCAAACAAGCAGAATGTACAGGTTTAGTTTCGTGTTAAGTTTACCTTCATCTTAAATTATGTCTGTGTTCTTCCTCTCTGCAGCTCCTCTTTGGCCCACCTTGTTGGCGGATTACACAGGCTTTTCCAAGCAAGACATTGTTCCCCTTTCAGTGCTGCTCTATGTCAAATGGTACGTTTCTTTGTGCGTGTGTGCGTGCGTGCGTGTGTGTGCGTGTGTGTGTTGTGTGTGTGTGTGTGGTGTGTGTGTGTGTGCGTGCGTGTGTGTGCGTGCGTGTGCGTGTGTGTGCGTGCGTGTGTGTACGCAAAACTAAACTCCCTCACATCACGCCATGTTAGATTCACAGAGTGTGACATCAAATGACATCAGAGCAGCCGTGACTTGCACATCTTAAATGCTTCAGATCATAAGCTGCAAGTGTAATAAGAAATATAAAATGGGCATATCTATTTTGTGCTGTTTGCTTTACCCTACTGTATTTGATTAGTGGTTACTTAGCGCAGATCCTACTAAACCCTGGGTTATACTTGGTTACGGACATGGACAACTGGAGACCCAACATGAGAGTTATCATTCCTGTTATACTTCTTTGAAGCCTTGGACCCTCCACATTCCAGGAACCCAAGAGAACTCGTGCACATTGAAATGATAAAACCAGATTAAGTCTTAGCATTATCTAGTATCCATGTAATTGGAACTACAGATGTAACCGCATAAACTTTACTGGTTCACCCCACCGACACAGGAGCAATCTGCTTAAAGCCTTGATTATACTTTGCACGTCTGAGTCAGCTCGGTCTTTGCATTACAGAGACTTAGCAGTACAATGCACTTAACCCCATGTGTACCAGAGTAGGTGGACAAAGTAGTACAACAGGAATGATTACTTAGCCATCGTGTCTCCAGCTCAATAAACAATAAAAAAACATGGACGTAGCTTCCACGTCAGAAAAATGAAACCAATGTAGAAATGCCTTAAACTTGCATTCTGCTTGAAGGCCACCAGATGGTGATAGCTGAAGTTGCAGAAAGACTTTCGATCCAATAGAAGTCTAGAAAAACAGCTTTCTGATTTGACCTCTGTAAACAAGTCTGATGGACTCAGTCATACATTTTGGGATAATATTAAATTTTAAAAAAGGAAGGTTTTTTTGTAAATCTTGGTCATACCATCTTTCATAATCGAGGATTATTTATGGCGTGAAACTGTACACTCATTGGCTAATGAGGTTTCAACAACAAGTCATCAGCCAATAGATGCACAGTTTATGCTTCACAGACAGTTTATACTCACCTTTGGGCTTCAAAACGGGACTTCGGAAATCAACGAGTAACATCACAATAGCTATGTTCATGTTGAATTTGACAGCAACGTGGCACAAAAAAGTTTGGATGTAGGGCAACAAACGGCTTGGAGATTAAAGTAGTACTTAAAAGAAACATTTTATGCTGATTGGCATCTGGACAGTAATATGACTGGGTTTGAGAAGGGTGGGGTCTTTGAGAGACAGTTTCTCATGAGTAAAGATGAGCAGAGGTTCATCAGTTTAACATTGTGGAGACTTCAAAAATATCTCACCATGTACATCATAATCCATATAATCATCCAATATCAAAACATCCTGAGAATCTGGAGAAATCTCTGTGCACACGGGATCTTTCTTCTTTATTTTCTTCCTTTTTTTTTTCTTTTTTTTTTAATGGCTTTGAGGTTTTCACATTAATGCATTTCTAAATGCATCATACTCTTACTCACAAAAAACTGAAGCACAAATTTCTTGCTTGGCCTGTTTTTAAATAGTGAGCCATATTATTAGTCAGTTAGTTCTATTAAAATGCTCTTTTTGGAGCACAGTCCAGAAGTCCAGTTAATAGATGCAGTTTGTGGAGGTGAAGCCTAGTATAACAAATGCTGCTGCTATGCCTCAAACTCCAGCATGGAGGATGGGTTTGTTTGTTTTTTTCTTTCTTTTGTTTTTTTCTTTAATAAATCGCCCCACAGTAGGGTTGTGATGAAGGAAGAAACTATCCATAGAGGCCATCACAGTTTGTAGCAGGCAGTAAATCTGCTTTTAAACTTTAAAATGTGATATTTTAACAAGAGCAGCCTGTGGGAAATGACTTGTTTTTTGGAGTCATACTTAAGTGGCAATTAGAAGGATTGCAGTTTTTGGCACTTCTTTATTGGCTTGACTTTTCAGCCCTGGAGGCTGCGTCTTGCTTGTAGCTTGTTGCTAATTACAGGTTGTTCGGCTGAGGGACTTATAACTCTTTATGTACTTAAGAAATTGTTATTGTAAAACAAGAAGCAACGCTAAGTCAAGAAAAACGGGGGGGAATCAGCATTGGCAAAGTAAGGAGTGGGCTAATGGGCTGACTGAAAGCAGATGACAAAAACTTCCTGTTTTGTCTTTGGGTTATTCTTTATCAATGCGTTTTTTTTTTGGGGTTTTTTCCCCAGCTGTCACTTATGATAATTGGTGGTTTCGATGTTAGAGTTCGTCCATGTTCGGAGAAAAGAGATTTACCTGCATGCACCTAAACCCTGCTCAAACGTGATTGGTCGATGGAACTCCAAAACTACAAGCAAACTGTAAAATTGCTATTGACGTGCTCCCATGGCCAATAATCTCACCAGTTTCTCTCCTATTATTGGATCTCACAAATTAATAAAGCAAATGCCTGTTCAGCTGTTTATTTACAGCTCAGCAGCTTTACAGAACCTACATTGGAGAAGATGAGCCAAAAATGTATTTCCCTGTTGCCTCGCTGTGCTTTCCTCGATTGGAAGATAACAAGAATTGATTGGCCGTGAGGGTTTTAAAGCAAAACCAAAGTGGAGAGAGCGCCAGAGTCTTATAGACAGAGGGAAGCATTTGGACTATTGATGTGGAGGTGGTTGGATGTGGGTGTGTGTGTGTGGGTGGGTGACCAGTGAATCAGCAACTGAGTCACAGAAACGTGCCTCGGGGTGAGTCTCTTTGATAGGTGAGCATCGTATCAACAAACTGTAATTCGCAAATGGACAAGTAACAAGATTTGTCCCCAAGAGATGATTGAAGTGTTGCTGCAAGTAAACTGGATCATACTCAGGTCTTGTTTTTTTCCCCTCTGCTTCCCCCTCCCTGTCTGTCTTCAGTTTCAGTCAAGATGTTCCCAAAGATTACAGGCACGTCTCTCTCACTGGTGTCAAGCAACGGTTTGAAGACGAGGCCTACCACCACATCAGTAAAGATAAGGTACTGCGCTAGTATTATTATTATTAATTGTCTTAATTTTATAAAAAAGGGTTAGGCATGGTTAAGGCATATCTTGCCGTGGTTTTTCTGAATGAATTTTTTTCCTCCCCTTCATGGTTTCAACAAGGTGATGGATTTTAAAGAGCTCTGCCAGATCCTGGAGATTCCTGAGGTGGTGCCTCAGATGGAGCCTCCCAGTCCCACTGGTCAGCCAGCGGACATCCATACCTTCCTGGCCTCTCCATCAAGCGATAGCAAGAAGTAAGCAGGGTCTGAATGTGTAGAGACACATCATTAGCTTTTTTTTGTTTTTGTTTTTTTGTTAAATTAATGATCTGAAAAAATGTTCATGTTTTTATTCTGCCTCATGAACTATAATTTTATAAATGTGGCCATAATTGTGAGTAATGTGGCATTTATTTTCTCTTTCCATGACTGTGAAAATCGGTACTAATTGGCCACCCAGTAAAAACATTTGCTGCGCAATGTACCCTGTGCGAGCAATCAAATGATTTTAGATAAGTGTACTGACTACATCAGCAAAGACCAGGGAACAGTTCCTATTAAAGCTCCAGTATGTAACATGATGTGGCATGTGTAGCACCCAGTTTTGCATCATGTGCAGGATGTATATAGAAAATCAATACAAGCTTAGTAGAGTGCTGGTGTGATGGGATTTAGGACATGCGGAGAATTGAGACACGCCCCGCCTCTTTCCTTGCTCATTTAGCAGCTCTTATCGCGGCTGAGTCACCTGTGTGCCGTGGCGAACTGACTCGTGAAGCATCTTGACCAGAAGGTGTTTGTTTTTGTGCCATCTGCGAGAAGTTCCCGTGACTCACAGCAACCCCTCTGCTTGTCCCACTGTTTTTCTGAAGGAGACGCGATGACAGCATGCAGGCGCACCGAGGCAGCTTTGTGGCCACACCCACTGCAGAACTATCAAATCAGGAGGAGAAGCTGCTGGGCGACATCCTGGATTGGAGCCTGGACACTTCCTGCTCGGGTTATGAGGGGGACAGGGAGGAAGAAAGCGAGGGCGAGAGAGAGGATGATTGTGAGTATGAGGGAGGGGTAGGGCACGCTTAATGCAGTGCTGATTACCAGCAGGCTCAAATTCTTTAATGCATTTAAATGAGCTAAACTATATGAAGAGGAGAATAATGCCTGAGTTCATCTTCGGTAAGATATAATTTAAATGGAGATGACTAAGCAGCACTTTCTTTTCTTTTTTCCCCCAATAGGTTCCATGATATCCATCAAGCTGGATCCGCTTACTGATGCAGGCGAAAGGGGGGAGCACTGCCGAGCTCTATCCAGCGATGAGGACAGCTTCTGTGAAGCAAGGAGGGAGGTGAACAAGGATTCCCAAGGCCAAGAGCCCGTTTCCCTCTCTAAAGACCTTCACAGTTCAGGATATTCCTCAGTCCAGAGTGTAAGCCCCTCATCTACATGCTCCTCCTCCTCCTACTCATCGTCTCTCAGGGCTTGCACATTCAAGACCTTTACCACTTCTCTGGGTGCTGCTTCTTCCAATGCCCAGCCAGGCTTCCGCCTCTTAGTTCCCATGCAGAGGCCTCGGGGCACATCTAGCAAACAAGTAAAAAGGAAGAACACAGCGGCTCACAGTGGATGCGAGGTGGAGAGAGAAGAGGAGGAAGAAGAGTATTCTGCCAGTGCAGGGTTTCTGAGCCTATAGACCATGGTTATTTTGATGGCCTCAGACTTTTCACACTTTAAGAAAACACACACACACACACACACACACACACACACACACACACACACACACACACA